CCCTCCCCTCCCCTCCTCTGGAATGGAGCTCCCCTGGAACAGGGCTCGGCACATTCCCAGGCTCCCTTTGGAGCAGGGAATGCTGGAGGTCCAACAAACCCCCAGCTCAGTTCCCTGGGAATGCTCAGGTGCTCAAAATATCAGGAATAAAAAGTAGGATTCAAGTATTCGGGATAAAACTCCATTGGTTTTACTCCAAGGGTGTCATTCCCAAAAAGACTCCCGGGGATGGAGGATCCCCATGTCCCGGGAATGCTCAGTCCAGGGAAGTGATTGTCCAAACCCAGGTCCTGGGGGAAGCTTTGGGTGGATTTTGGGAACAGGTTCCTCATCCAGAGGGTGCTCAGGCACTGGAACAGCTCCCCAGGGAAGGGCTCAGGGCCCCAGGAAGCCACAGCTCAGGGACAAAGCTGCCAGGAGTTGGGATTTTTGGGATTAGTGGGAATTTTGGGTTTGTCCTGGCCCAGGAGTTGGACTCGATGATCCCTGCGGGTCCCCTCCCACTCAGGATATTCCATGATTTTGTGATCCTTCTGGCATTCCATGATTTCACAGGTCAGGGGCTGTTTGGAAAACAATCCTGGGCATCAGGATTTTGGGATCAGTGGGATTTTTGGGGTCGTCCCAAAGCAGGAGTTGGGCTCGATCCATGGGGGCCCCTTCCAGCTCAGGACATTCCATGATTTTAGAGGTCAGGGAGTGCTCGGACACTGGGATTTTGGGATTAGGGGGATTTTTGGGGTGTCCTGGGCCAGGAGTTGGATTTTATGATCCTTGTGTTGGGAATCAGGAATTCCTAGAGTTGAGGAGTTGGGATTCAGGCCTTTCTTTCCCTCTGAATCCCTGGATCCGAGGGGCCATTCCGGAGCCCCTTTCCCAGTTGGATCTGAAGAGCAGGAGGCTCCTGTCCCTGTGGATGGCCAGGGACTCAGGAATTCCTGGTGGATCAAGAGTAGGAAGCTCCTGTCCCTGTGGATGACTCTCAGGAGCTGGGATTCAGGAATTCCTAGAGTTCAGGAGTTGGGATTCAGGAACTCGTAGATCTTCCTTGTCTCCAAATCCCTGGATATGAGAGGCCATTCTGGAGCCTCTTCCTGGGTGGATCTGAAGAGCAGGAGCTCCTGTCCCTGTGGATGGAGTTGGGATTCAGGAATTCCTAGAGTTCAGGAGTTGGGATTCAGG